ATCTTTCTTGTAACTTTCAAAAAAAATTATCACATATATAAATATTTAAAAACATTATACAACTAGGTGAAAAAATTTTCAACGCGATTCCGAACGTACTCTTACAGTAAAAAACGCGTCGGTGTGGACAATTCCATCTAACGAGGCTATCCTTGTCGTTGATTTGAGTTTTAGGTTTTAGTCCTGACTATGTGGCTCAGTGGGTCCCGGGAGAATCTTTACTCTGTCACATGGTCCTAATCTTTCAGCTTAAATTGATTTTTTTGACAATAGGCAATGGATTGGCCTGACTTGATTAAAAATTAAAAAATGTGACTATACGTACGATTCCATTTGACGAGCCTATCCTTGCCATTCATATTAAGTTTTTACTCGAATCGGGATTCTAGGTTTAATGATTCGATCCCGAGCTTTAAGTACTTGGATGAGATGATCGAAGTTTTGAATTTCATCATCGTCATAAACTCTACTAAAAAGTGACCTGATGGCTGCGTGCCTCATTTGAGGGGGTAAAATATTCACCCGATTTGAGGACCAGTTGCTAACAACTAACTCATACTAACTTTCTAACTATTACACTTGTCAAAAAAATATATATATTAAGTTCTTACTCCTAATCTCTATCATGTGGATCAGTGGGTCTCGAGTATTAGACATTTTATACTTATCTTTTTGAGATTAGACCGTGACAAATTACCTCACAGCACCATAATCTTATCAAGCCCTTTTTTCCCACGTATTGAAATCATTTCAGTGGGAATATTTACCAAGGAAGTTTGTATCGTTTTGTACCAACCAATACGGTCAGTACATATTAATTTTTGAAATGAAACGAAATAAAATAAGTTAAAATTTTGTTTCGGTTAAAATTTGATAATTTCGATCAAATTTTAATACATCGATCAAAATTTTATGTATCGATCGATACATCAAAATTTAATCAGTACATTATGCAAGAATTTAAAAGAAAAAAAGATTCCCTAAGGCAGTTTCTTATTTTGCAATTTCAAATTGTGCAAATCTCTCCTCTGTTTTTGCATCCAGCTGTCCTTGACATTCCTCCACTTTTGGTACAATCGCCTGTAAAATTCAATTCAAGTTTAAAAATGGTAAATTTTATTTTTGATCCTTAATTTTAATATTTTACATAATTTTCATCTTTAACTTTTTATGTACTTTTTTAATATATTCTTCATTTTTTTTAATCCTTTTATCAATTACTCCATTAAATTTATCTTAATACACACTTTTAATCCCTTAATTTAAAATTGATGGATGAAAAATATACATATATTATAAGTTGAAGGATTAAAAATGATCATTTTAAATTTATTTTTATTTATAAAAATATAATAATTTTAAATATTAGTATTTTTTATTTTATTTTAATCTAAATACACACATTTTTAATTCCTTAATTTA